GGCTGTAGGGAAAGTGGGAAGATGGTTGGGGCAATACATTTCAAACGGAGTTTTTCCTCGAGGAATGATTATTTTGTGGTTTGATCTGTTGGTGTCTGTTTTATTAACTAGGGATATAACAACATTGTAAAAGGTTTCTTCTAATTTAAGGGGGTTGTAGCATTCTCGATAAAAATTTTCAAATCGAGATATTTGGAGATAATGAGAGTATGTACCTTTCTTTGCCTTCGATTTATCCTGCAACACGAGAGAAGGATGCGCAGTCAATTTCGATTGGACGATATCAAAATTAGAATGAATGCGTGAAAATCAATCGTTCCACCATTGAAAAAAACCAAGAGTAGACAAATAATTCGATTCAAAAGCATAAGGATAGAAATGCATCGGGCTTTGTGGTAACAGTTTGGCAAGCTCCCGTCCTACATTCGATTCATTTAACTTGGACCTTGGGAAAGTATCGAGAGTGAAAAAAGGTAAAGCTTGACTTAGACCAAACTGCCGCGAAAAAAGTTGGGGATAATAAATGACAAGTTGGATATTCTTCGATTGAAAACCCGATACAAGAACGTCCTGGGTCAAATAATTACTCCATACATCTACTAATTCCGATTGCAACCCTAGAGTAAGAGCGGAGAATTTTGATTTAAACCAGGTTGGCCCTCGAAGTCTGTCACTAACTTTTCCATGATATACGGTAAAAGGGGCCAAACTTGACTCAAAATGAAATCGAGTTAACAAAAATTTCAGGTAAGTTCGATAACTAGCCTCATCGGAGGATTTTTGATGAGGATGTCGAGATGATAATCGAGCGCCTTCTAAATTTAAACTTGGAGAAACTTTGGATGTTGGGGGAAGGATGCTTTCAAAGATCGAAGTGAGCCATAATTGAACGAACCAGATAGGACCCGAGAAATTCCCTGAGGGTCTTGGAGTATTAAAAATATCAACAACCTCATCGAAAGTAGTATAAACATGGGCCAATAAAAGCTTTGCCAAACAAACTCTGGGTTGGCCAGTATGGAGGATATAGGCAAGATTATAGAAATGGGACGAGATTTGGATGGATCGAGGGCAAAATACGTGGGTACAGAGCCAATATACCAGAAAAGCCACATGCTCCTCGTCAGAAACAGCTACCGATTGATCATCAACAAAATGTTTTTCGATGAAATGTCTATAAGCTTTCGATTCTCAATCGATTTTTGATCTTAGAGAGTCGTCGGAGGGAAAAAGCACTCTTAAAATATTTCTCCCCTGTGGGTTTTAGTCCGGTGATTGCAGCAACTTCAAAAAGAGTGGGAGAAAGGGGACCGCAAGGAAGCTCCATTGCATGTAAATCTTTATTCCACAAATGGACCGCGAATAGAAACATAGAAATATCCAAGAACGATAGATCACATCGAGATAAATGTAGAAAATCGAAGATCCCTACATCTCTCCAGTGATTCCCAAATTTGGTCTTTACTCGATCGAACCATCTATTGTACAAAGACTTTTTGTGGGGAGGGCCCGTTCGATATACTTTTGAAACAACATTTAGGAAATCAATTCGGACCTCAGATTTGTGAATAAGGGCTTTACTTTCTGAAGGAAGGCTGAAGGAAGAAGAAAACGATCCACCACAGTAGCGGATGGGACCACCAAACACATAATCTATATTATCAACGGCGTAAGGGATAAGTACCTGAGTCTCGGCAATCTTCTGCGAAGCTTCTTCCATCAAAGGAACTGGAGCAAACTTTTTTCCATTTATCTCTATTAGAGTCGAAGTTATCGAGGAAAGTGGTGGGGTGGAGAAGTCGGAAGATTTGGAAGTCGCCATTACAGTTTGTGGAAAGGTTGAAGACGAAGAAAAGGTGCAACGAAGAAGGAGTGGGTTAGGTTCTTGGTAAAAAACAAGGGTAAAAACTGATAAGAGTATTTAAAGAGGCCGACTAGGGTATTTGAAATGAAGAATGAGAAGAGGGTAATTAATACGTGGCGTGCGCGTTGTGACAGTAGAGGTGATGTGATTTGATACTTGACATAAAGCAGAAAAAACCCTAAAAACCCTAAAAAACCCCAGGAACCCTAAACCCTAAAAAGTCATTTCGAGCTTCAAGAACGTTTAAGGGTGGGAGTTATTTTTGAAAGAATATAAAATTGATACAAATATTTATATTCTTCCAAGGGGGCATTTTGTTAGTGAAAAATCGATACAAGGATCGAAAAACAGAGGAGAGAAAATCGAAGATCATATGATTGGTTAAAAAGTTGATAAATCGGAAAGATGGTTGGAAGACATTCGGTGACCACGAGATAGTATGAACACATAAATCGAGAATGGAAATCGAAAATGAGAAAAGAGAGGAAAATCGATGAAAGTAATGGTAAAGTACAGTGTAAAGTCAAGGTTAAGGGAAATCGTACTTGATAACTGGAATCGAGATCGAGGGAAACGGTTATCATGCATATGAAACATGAGGAGTGACTTTTCACATCGTGGCTAAGGTTAGAAATCGAGGAACGGTTAAAATGCACATGGAACGTGGAAGAGGTTTTCTAAACTGTAAGCTAAGGTAAAAATCGAGGAACATGCACATGGAACGTGGTGACAATTTTTTAACTGCTCTTGGGAGGTTACATTGAAGGATGCCTATAAATAGAACGAAGCTTGAAGAAGAAGGGGAAATTGGCAGAGACAACAGAAGCACAAGTGAAAAGTCTACCGGAGAACGACGAATCATGAAGTTTCTGGCGATCTGGATTTCCATTCTCATTGATTGTTTTTACCGCTTTCTTTACTTTCCCTGGTAACTTATTTTCAGGCAATTTACATTCATCAATTTAAGTTTTCATACTTTCAATTACTTGTCAGTTATCTTTAATGCAATTTAAGATTCTGTATTTTCAAATGCTTGCCATTTACCGTTTTCTGTAATTTTGACGTCCTATCATTTACTTTCATGCAATTTTAATTCTGTCATCTACAGTTAATGCAATTTCGAGTTTTTCACATTTACAATTCTCTGTATTCTAATATTTTGCACTGCTTTTTGTTTCTTTTCGATACCTTTTATTGCTTTTTTTATTTTGTGTTTCTTAATAAAATACCAAAAAGAGTACTTTCGATTTTCAATTTGTATGTTGCATCGATAACATTTCTCGATCTTGTGACATTTTCGATTCTCATATACGTTTTGATTGAAAATTGTCGCTAGCCTAAGTAAAAAGAATCTACGTGGTTAAAATTTGATTAGAACCTGAGAAATTGAAATCGATCAAATTATCACCAAAAACACCACTATATACCTCAATTCTAAACCTATAATTGTTTTGACAACCGTAAATCATACAACCTTTCAAACAACTCACTTTTATTAATATAATAATCAATAGAATGATTTAATAAAAATAAAAATAAAGTAAAACTATTATTATAATATTAAAAGAGAATTGTTTATAAGAGTTGTATGGATTTGGGTTATAAACTATCATTTTCCAATTGTTTTACTTTAGTGTACATTCATTACAAAAATTAACTAGTATATTTTTAGGCTAACCTATCCTTATTTAATGTAATAATTATATAAATTTAATGTTTTAGTAAATATAAATAAAAATGAAATTAAAATTATATTCTAAATAAAATATATTTTACTATATAATTAAATATTAATTATATATTAAAAATGATGAACTATCTAGAATAATTTTACAAAATCGATTCAACAAGACGAGAATTATATTCTAAATATGTTATTGTATTATCGAATTTCTAATCTATACGGAGTTTCATCGCATCTTTTTAGGTTGAGGAAAATTTTTCATGATATCCTTCTTTTATAGAAAATTTCTCGTTACATCTCCTTATTTTGAATAGTACACATTATTATTATTTTTTTAACATGACTTCAACATATCTCACTTAATTTAATCTTATAAAATTAACTTGGGAAAATAAAAATTATAATTACCTATTTGTTATAATATTATTATATGTTTAATAAATTTAAATTACACTTCTAATTTTTTTAAAAGATTATTAAGTCATCATAATATAGAGATTATTAAAGGGAACTTTATAGTTCTATCATAGTTGTCCCGTGGGCAATTTTTAATAGAAAAGTTCTTTAGGGTTTCAATTTATAGGGTCCATCATCATAAAGAGGCTTGCCATTAGAGACCGAACAAAAACTGTGCTGATTCAGAATCCCAGAACAGAGTCAACAAAGTCGGTGAAGTTCTTGAGATGCATAGTACTAGCAAGATCTCCTCATTGCCTCTGGGGTGGTGGACCACATGGGTCTCTCCAACCTCAAAAGTCAGCAACTTCGGCCGAACTTTGTTTTCAATTGACAAAACAACATTCACACGGTTTGGCAGCCTAGTAAGACTTTGACTGCAACCACATCATAATGCATTTCTAATTACTGAATACAAAATTCCTTCCACAGACCTGAGTCAATGCTTTTTCATCTAATATTCGTCTTTAATGTACCCTTTCGTACACCCTCTATCAATCCTAATTAATATACTCAAATCTATCAAGAATAAACCCTTTTCTCACCCTAACCCTTGTAATTAATGCTGTCAAAATAGACTCTATTATTCACATTTACACTAGGATTGAAAAGGTAAAGTACTTTCAGATTTTGCAAAACCTTATGTCTGTTCAGATTTTTAAGTTATTTTAATTGTAAAAGTCTCTTCTTTCTTTTGTTTGATGAATCTATGAATCTGAAGTTTTGTTCCCCCATTTTATCCAATTCACTTTAGTAATGTATGGGTGAATTGTTAAAATAGTTTTCTATTACAGTTAAACACTAGTGCCGACTTTAAAGACTTGGAAGTTACATTTTTTATTCCCAATGAAACTTCACATCACCTTCCAACTCTTCTTCCAACCTAGTATATCATTCTCTTTCTCTAGTTGTCAAACATTATACTGCTCATTCTCTTTTCACATTGCGAGTTTTGCCTCCTTCTCTATCAGTGTGCAAACTTCCTCCTTCATGGCTATGCCAGAAAAACCAAAATCTGGGTGTTTTACTGGCTTCTTACGTGTGCTTCTATGTGCTGGAAATGCATCTAGTCCTCCAGTGCACCCCTCTGATCATTTTACAGAATATGAATCAGAAAATGCACATTCCACCAAAGAAACTGTGGTGGTGAATGATGGTTCCACCCCTGGAGTGGTTGCAAGGTTAATGGGGTTGGATTCACTTCCAAACCCCAAATGGGTATTGAAAGGAGGCACCCCAGATTCTGTTCCAAGAAGCAGATCAGTGAACTTTGTGGATTTCTTGCTTGAGTTTGATTCAAGCCGTGCCAACCATAGGAGAGTGAAGACCTCAGCATCGTTCAGAGAGGTTCCTGGTTTGGTTGAGAACCAAAATATTGGTAATAACCTCTTCGTGCTTTGCATGGATGCTGACAAAGACCGAGAGCTTAGACATGAGTTGACGAAATTGGAAACCAGTTTGGGAGAGGTGAAGAAGGGGAAGAGGCAGGGGAGTAGGAACAAGGAGACTGTGAGTGTGAAGAAAGAGAGGAATGAAGGGAAGAACAAGAAAATTTCCAAGCTGAGGAATGAACCAAGGAGAATCCCTTCTTCTACGCATGAAGGTCGAAATCATGAAGATAAAGATTTATCTTCTGTGTCCTCAACTTCCTCTAAGTGTAGTTCTTGTAGTAATAGACAAAACAATGCTGGTTCAAGATCAAGGTTAAACACTTCTTTGGCGAATAAGCACAAGAAGGGGCTTGTGGATCCAAAAGAGAAGAACATGAGAAAGAAGAAGTTATCATTGAAGGTAGAAAGTGAATGCAGCTTGGAAAATCACAGTGCAGTTTCAGTTGTAGATAGCAATCACTATCCTTTCCTTTATGGGACAAATTTTCTAGGTTTGTTTTCTCAACTCAATCCCTTTCTAAATTGTTATTTTTATTTTTACTTGATTTAAAAATAATAGTTTGGTAATGGTTGAATATTGTCAAGTTTTATTATTTATGAAAGAATACATAGATAATTGAAACTGAGAAAGTAGTTAAAATAATTAATTTTAATTACGAATAATTAGAATTTAAAGGTAATTAAAAACTGCAAATGCAATTATTCGAAATATGTTCATATTCATGAATAAAATTAAATTTATATAAAAAACCGTATAATATAATTTTATTAACTTAATAATTTTGATAACAGTTTTATATTATTGATTTATTTTTCGTTATTAACTATGTTTAGTAAACATAATTAACGGAGAAATTGTTCCACATCATAACTTGTTATCACAGGTAAGCTATGTTATAGTATTTAGCATTAGTACTCATCATGAGAGAACAAATAAGAAAAATAAAATAAATGAGAATTGATTCTGAAAAAAAAATTAAAACAATGAAACATCAATTTTTAATATATTTACAATTTTAATTCATAAAGAATTATAAAAACAAAAATATAGAACTTGACTATTCCAATTAAAGTACTTCTTATATATCACAACATATTATTTAAAAGAAAAAAATCGTGATAATATAGGTATGTTGTTCTTGTTTTATATTCCATATTTATTTTAAAAGAATAATGTTTTTTTTTTATCATAAAATAGACTTGAGATTCATTCTTTTTTGAAAAAAATTTAGAATATATTTTTAAAATATTTCGGATTGACATTTTTAGAATATTTTCAGGACTCTTTCGAAAAAGTCAATAAAAAATACTTTTAAAAAATTCATCTTAAAAATTTCTGGAAGAATAAATTTAAAATTTCAATAATACATGTGAAGAATTATTTTTAAATTTAATTTTTTGGAAATTTACCCTTCAAAAAAGTCAATCAGAAATATTTTTAAAAAACTCATCTTAAATAGTTTCTGAAAAATAAATCTAAAATTTTAATAATATATGTGAAAAATTATTTTTGGAATTAGTTTTTCAGAAAAATTTCAGATTATTTTTTTGATAATAAAATTATATTTTAAATTTCATAATAAAGTTTTTAAAAAATTATATACTTTTAAATCTATTCATTCCAAAAATTTTAGATTTTTTAGTCCAAAATATTTTAAAATATATTTCTAAATCATTAATTTTATAAATTAATAAGAGCATTGTCTTTTTTTTTTTTAATATGGGATGTAAAGAGAAAGTACAGTAGAAGGAAGAATGTGCCTAATACATATATACCACTATTATTAAAGCCCAACAGCATTCACGTGTATGTTTTGTTTATTATTTATTTATTTAATTATAATAAGGATGTTAAAACGGTGTGTATATCATTTTTCAAAAAAAAAAAATTACCTATAAAAAATTTACTTGTTAACGTGTATTATATTTTTTATCATACAAATTACTGAAATGGACAGAGAAAAACACTAAAACAGTAAAATGATTTGTGGCTGCGATATGCATTTGTTCGTGTGCAATTGTATATCCAATTCAATGTTAATTACAGGTTCAAATTCAAAGAGGGAATCTCCATCACTATTGTCCATGGATGCAGACAGTGCAAGTACTGATAAAGATTACACCTTCATTGATGTCAACAAGGAAGCAGAGTATTTCTCAGAACTGCTGTTGCAGATTCGTACTTTGGCAGAAGATGATGTAAGAGAGTCAGATTGTACCTCCAAACATATACGTGAGAGTGAAAGCTTTAGGGATATCTGTTTTGTGTTTGAGCTTAAAATTTTGGACCATTTATTATACGAGGTCGTCGATGAAATTTCAGAACTTTATTGTTGTTGTTGAATGTTTTTTCACCTTGGTGTGTAAAGTATTATAGAACTAGGATATTCTGTGATCATTTTGCAAATCAACTATTGTGTATTCTGCATAAAAAAAAAAAAACTATAACTGATGTTATTTTCCTTAATTAATAAAGAACATTACAATAATTAAGAAACTTGGATATTTTGGGTTTAATAAAGAGAAATTATTATAAATGAGATTCGACTGAATATTATTCTTAATTCAAAATCTTTTCAAAGAATTTTTTTATTTATAAATTATTCAATTTTTTATTTATTTTATTTAATATTAAATTTTAAATTCAGACTTAAATTCCCAAGAATTATTGAAATTTTGTTTACTCTGATACGCATGATCTTTAGAAAATAAATTAAAAAATAAAAAATATCTTAAATTAAAATGATACTACAAATAAAGCTTTCAACGCTCGGTTCGGAAGGCTTTCAACGCTTGGCTTAATAACCGATGTTGTATCGGCGACGTTGAAAGTGGTAACTTTCAACGCTCGGTTATAATAAATTGACGTTAAAGTTTTTACTTTAGATAGCGGTTATAAGGGAACCGCTATCTAATATAGACTTTAGATAGCGGTTGTAAGGGAACCGCTATCTAATATAGACTTTAGATAGCGGTTATAAGGGAACCGCTATCTAATATAGACTTTAGATAGCAGTTATAAGGGAACCGCTATCTAATATACAATTATAAGTCTACTTTCAACGCTCGGCTTATTAGAACCGACGTTGAAAGTATGATTTTTTAAATTAATAATTTTTATTTATTTACAACCCCTTTACCCCTTTTATTTATCTAGAAGTCTCCCTCTCTTCATATTATATTTTTATTAGGTCCTCCATCTCTTTATATTATATTTTTTAGAAGTTTTTTAATTTTTAAGAGAATTGTCATTAGCAGGATTTGAACCCAAGATTTTAGAGTTGGAGGTCGATACTCCAACCACTAAAATACTTGAATTTTTTATAATAACTTACAAATAAATTATATTTATATACAAATAAATATATATCCGTGTAATTATCACTACTAGAAAAATGTCAAATAGTAACTTCGAATCTCAACCCCAACCTCAAACTCGACGAACTCGAGGCCGAACCCCAACTCGGCGACATCAAACCCCAATGTCAAGCCAAACCCAATTGTCATGTCGTGAAACCCAACGCTTTGTTTTAACTGATACGAAAACGTTTATATCAATTAAAACACTTTACAAAAAATCTTCTAAGTTGATTTAATCGATTGTTTCGCGATTCAATCGATTGAAATACTACAAAACTTTCGCGTGACACTTTTCAAGTAATTTTAACTGATAAAAATAAGTTTTAATCGATAAAAACGCTGTGCAGAAATTGTTTTAATCGATTGAAACGAGATTTAATCGATAAAAATAGTTCTGATCGGTCATAACTGCATTCTGATCGATCATAATTGAAACAATATAATAGCGGTTCCAGGTTAACCGCTATCTAAAATGTATCTCGCTTGAGCGACACCCTTCTCGCTCGAGCGAAATGCCCCCTGCACAAAATTAGCAATCTCGGGTTATATTTCGCTTGAGCGACACTACCCTCGCTCGAGCGAAATTAGATTCTGATCGATCATAACTTGAAATGATCGATCATAATTGACAGGATATAATAACGGTTCCCTTATAACCGCTATCTAAAGTGTATATTAGATAGCAGTTATAAGGGAACCGCTATCTAAAGTGCATATTAGATAGCGGTTATAAGGGAACCGCTATCTAAAGTGTATATTAGATAGCGGTTCCCTTATAACCGCTATCTAATATACACTTTAGATAGCGGTTCCCTTATAACCGCTATCAATAAGTAAAAAATAAAATAAAAAAAGACTTTCAACGTCGGCTCATATGGGAACCGACGTAGAAAGTACTTTCTACGTCGTTTGACTAAGAACCGACGTAGAATGTGACCAACATTCAACTTTCAACGTCGCTTTTTAACCAACCGACGTTGAAAGTGTATTTAACGTCGACTCGACTTGAACCGACGTTAAATGGCGACGTTGAAAGCATATTTTGTAGTAGTGTATAATTCAGTTTAAATAAAAAAGTCATCCAATTACTCTTTCATTATATAACATAATTTAGATAAGTCTTATTCTATTACACATTATAAGTTCTGATAATTTTTTTTAAAGAATCACAAATTCTTTATTACAATAACTTTCTAGAGGAAATCTCTAATTACTAAAAATAACAAAAAATGGTAGATTATGTTTAATTATGAGATAATAAATATAATCACAATCATAATAAATATTTACACGTATAATTTTCTTCCTTATTTAATAAGTTAGATAATATTAAAATATTCTTTTTTATTGGGAGGAAATTGTTAAAATATTATGTAAATTATGCATATTATGGTTTGTGAATTAATTATATTTAATTTTAATTATGTTTAATAATTATCTGTGTAATTATTATAATATTTTTTTTCATTATTTTTTAATAAATTAAAAAATTCATAAAAACTTTGTTTATTCTTATTTTAAAAATTGATATAATATTATATATATATATATATATATATATTAAAAATTCAACAAATAAGAAATAAATAAAGATGAAAAAGTAAAAAAAATCCTCTAGTGTTTATTTCATTCTCTATTATCTTATATTTATATTTGTTTATATTAGTATTTTGTATATTCATAAAGTCTAACGTTATTTAAGAAATGAAATTTAATTTAAATGCATTTTTTTTAATTTATTAAAATATTTTTTTAAAATAAAACTACACACAACAAAATTCAAAATAAATAATATCTTAAATTTAAAAATATCATCACATCAGTCATATCACCCGAACACTTCCGATTCTAGATGGTAACAATAACTTTTTTTTTTTTTTTTAACGCAGTAATCATGGGAAGTAACAATTTTTTAACAGAGTTGGTGAGAAATTTATAGTGACAATGTTGTGTCAGAGACGCGTATGTTTGAACGCTGAATCCAGAGTTATGTGTTGCTAAATCAGTAAAATTACGTGTAGCAGTGAACAACCTCATGGAGAAGAAAGGAAAGTTGCAGACAGAGACAGAAAGAGCAAAAACAGTTACCTCGGGAACAACTTCGTACGCACCATGATTCATGCACAACTTGTTCGAGGGCCATTTTGGTGTCTCTATGTCGGTGCCCCAATGCCACATTATCAATCGTCTTCATTCACAAGCAAATTCTTCTACCTGGTTCATATCTTAATGCAAGGAGAGTAAAAAAGAAAAAGTAATATACTTGGTCTTATTATATGATATCTCTAAATAAAACATTTTAAATATCAATGTGAAACCTTTATTAATAATTATATCTTTTGACTAAGTGACTACCGCGCTCGTCTTTAATTGGTTTTATTCTATGAGATCTCTAAATAAAACATTATTGTATCAAATAAATTATATTAATTTCTTTTCTTAATAATAAACATGAAAAATCATTCATTAATTTATTTTCTTAATAACATATTATATATACACATTAAATAATAGAATATTATTTATAATTATGAATAATAATTATACATAATTACTCTAATTATTATTTATAGAATCATGAATAAAAATATATTATTTCGATTACTTATTCCATCAAAATAAAATATTGATTTATTACCAATATTTAGTACAATATATCACACTTTAGTATAAATTTTCAAAGTTTGTGCATGTAATTTAATTGTCGTTATACAAATATACCAATGAAGACAAACATATATTTTTAATATTCATACATATTTATTATATTTTTCTGCCACCAAACAAAGAAGTTAAAAACAGTAGAGACAAAAAAAGGACACAGAATATACTTCACTGGTTTGATAAACATCGACTTTAATTTGTGACTTTTAAGGAACAAAATAGTTTTCAAGGAACTGTCTTTGATATGACTTTTATTATAAAACAAGATTAAAAGTTGTTGATGGTCATGATTTGTATTAAAAGGGGAGGAAAATAGTTGCTTTTATTCAAACTGGTATGTGAATCTTGTACTGTGTTAGCCAAGCCTTGATTGTATAATCTTTTGCTTAATGATTTTAGTTATAAAGTAATAAATCTACTAATTTGTTGAGTTTTATATGATTAATGTGTCTATAATTTTAATGTGTTATGTAAGTGATTTATTAAATAAGATTAGACAAATAATTGTCTAAAAGTTTTTTTAGTTATTTATTGTATAAATCCATCTTTAAAAATACATTAAATTAAGAAAAAAAACAATGTATATAAATTATTTTGATTTGGAGTTTTTAAACCATGTGGAACTTATTTTGTTTATTATTTTGTAGAGAGAATTTCTGTTCTACGGAATAATTTGGATAGCACATTGTTTTATGCAAAACCGGGTTCTTATTGCAATGTTCTAAATCTTCTGGTACTGATTAAGAAGGTGCTGTTCAAAATATTTTAGAAACAAAACAATGCAGGAATGACTTTTACTGATACTACAATGGGAAATCTATTCTTACGATGATAGGAATTGACATTTGAAAATTTTCTCATTCAGAGTTCAACTTTCAAGATTCAAAAGAGAAAATCTAAGTAAAACAACTCCCACATCTTTTTATCATTCCTTCTTAACTATATTATTCTCCTATCTAAAACTTTACTTGACCGTTAAAATATTTTAAAAAATAAGTCTCTGTATTTTTTTTAAAATAAATTATTTTTAATAAATTCAAAATTCGATCTATAGATTTCTTTAATAATTTTACATCTTTTATATAACTCTATCGTATTAAGAATTTTTTTTTCAAATCAAACAATAACATATATTTAAACCCGAGAAGACATGCAAACATGGAAAGTATGTTGGTTAGAATTGAAAATGAAAATTATATTCATATGCACTATTTTCATTTCTTCTTATCTCTTTTTTTATTCATTTTACATCATTTATCACATCTAATGTATATTCTTTTTCATATTTCTTTCTTTTTTTTCTTTCAAAATCTATCTTTTTCCACCTTCATAGAGAATGAATAATAATATACAGAAAACCTAGTTAGAAAATACACCAGTTATGATGATGAAATTCGTACTAACTAACATTTATTTTATATTTTTTGTAATTATTCATCCATTCGTTCCATTACTTTGATTAAGTTTCTTTTCCATAAATAAAAATATATAAAATTTTCAGCTTCACAAATAGATTCAAACCAATTGATTTGGTCACGCAATTAATATATTCGATCGTTTATTAAATTTAATTAATCGACAACTTGTACGTCACAAGAAGTACAGGGAATTCAACAATCTAAGTCAGATTTTAGAATATTCTCGTTGAAATGTTAAATCAGCTTCATTTTTTTTTTCCTAGACCTTAACTTAGGAAAATTAAATGAATATAATTCGTAACATGCGAATAGTGAGTTTCAAATATACACAAGTTTGGCGATGCACAACGAAAAGGTGCATATGAACGAAAGACTTGGAACTTCGTTCGTTAATTAATACCAGATTGAGCAAGTCGTATACGCAAGTAACACTCAAGCATTTGTTGATTAAGAAATAAGTAATCCAACTTAATTATGATTCTCTTAATCCATCATTAAATAAAAAAATTACGTAGAATAAACAAGCTCAAGCATCATTATCATCGATAATTAGTCAAATACAGTATGATGTGGTTCAGTATTTCTCACTGTTGCATTTTTTTTTCTTTACTAGATTTATAGTACTGAGTTCTGCTGCATTATATTAAATGAAATCTTAATTTTCTTCGATCATAAACTAATGCTGATTAGGATAACACAGCAGGACTCAATCAATATCATAATCCAGCACAAAAGTCAAATTCTATATAATTACACCATTAATGAATCATTACTAAGATATAATACCACTCTAGGTCTTTAGATGAAGTATATATTCCTTTATTTGGTCCTGTAATTAGAACAAAATGTGTGAATCCCATATTTCTTTCCATAAGAAACAATTGCCTTACAATGATTATAAAAACAAATATTCTTCTAAAACTGAATAATAAATATACAGATATGTCTCTCGTAAATATAATGCAAAACCACAAATTTATCAAATATGAAGTGAATGCTATCATTCATGATTTTGAAGCATTATCATTTTACTTCGTATTGCTGCGTGGACTGTGAAACAAATTCAGTATACATTTTGATTAATATAAGAAATTAATCAACATTTATATACAATAGATAAGAGTGTTTACCTTAACTATTTTATCTGAAGGGAAGAAAAGAAGTGAATTTAATTAAGCATGCGTGTTCATAAAATTGATGACTATTAATGCAGCAGAAATTTATGTAATAAAAGTCATGAGTTCATACCTAAGACTGATATAACTTTCTGCAGCTCCAATTACACATACCTAGCTTTCTCACGTGCACAGGTCAGTGTCACTAACCCTTGAAGACCTCTCGTGTGCATGCAAAACCATATCAGCTAGCTGTCAAAATATCCTCATGTGGATGCAAAATAACAAATTGAGCTTTCAGATCTATCCTTAAGTAGGAGATAAATTATGCTGAATTTTCGAAAATTAGAGGTTACCCAACATAGCTTATAAAAAAACATTCATTTCATTCACACTTAGATATATTGATATAGATGTAAAGTTCTTTTCTTTTTCAATTGTGCCAAAAGTGAAACTAAGGGCACTTTGTGAAGTGAGGCATTTCAGCAAATGCTCCATTAACCATAAAAGATAAAACTGTGGGTGTAAATATATGGAATAGCCATTATGGCGAGCATTATATTGTGGACAATGATATTGTGCCCGTTTTCAATTGTTTGTTTGTTAGGTAATGAGAAATCGAACCATATAGTGCTCACTATAGTTTATATATCCATCTACACCTACTACCAGATCGAGAGGCTCTTTGAAACATTGTTAAATTTCTTGGGGGACACACACTCACACTCACACCAGATATATATTGGTCTTCTCTCAATGATAACAGAGCTAGTGCCTAGTTGTATGACCAAAAACCATGATTACCAGCCATATATGCACTATTACAAAATGAAAGTAACAAAAAATCATGGTTCTTATTTGCAATGGATAAATTAGCGAGCCTCTGATGGCAAAACAGAAGGGAGATAGAACCACAGCTTGACAAAATCACAACAAGTATAGCATATATAACAAACCTCTATAATCAAGCTTCTTTTATGGAAGAAGAGAAAACACAGTATTTGCCTACTTGGCTAGTTAACTACTAAACTACATCTCTTGCCTTTGTATTTTCTTGTGAACTATCCAACACTAACCTCTACAAATGTGTGAAGATCATGGAAGTGGGTTTTCTCTATTACCGAATAAAGTCTTCAAATCTTCATCACATTTCTTGCCTTTCTAGCTTGTTTAGCAAAGCTGTAATTAGAGCATCCCTCTTCTCAGCCCTAGCTTCTTCTCTTATCCTCCTTTGTTCCTCCCGTTCTCTCCATCTTTCTTCCATCAGTATCCTCTCATTCTCCAACACCTCCATGGCTTGCCTCCACTCCATCTCCTTCAACCTCCTCTCATTCTCCCTTGCCTCAAATGCTTCCATCCATTGTGATTCTATCTGTATCTGTTGCCTCATGAACTCCTCCAAGATCTCCTTCAAACTGTTTGAACTGCTACTACCACTACCACCACCACCCCCACTAGCTATCTTCGCCTTTTTCTTCTTTCTGCCCCCACCAGCTTCTGTACTCTCTTCATTGCCATCTTCTTCTTCATCCGATGAGAGCTGCGTCCCTTTGTTCTTCTTCGATACACCCTCAGCTTCAGCCCAAAGCATTCTCTGCATCCTTCCCGTGAAAATCGCATTGAATTCATTGTAAAATGGGAATTGCTGCCTCGTTGCTTCTTGCTCCATTGTTTCGAACCCCTTCACAGCTCAAAGCAAAAGTACTATTTAGTTTACATAAAAAAGAAAAGAAAAGAAAAAGAAAACTTTTGATAAAGCTTACAACCAGTTAGAACTTATCTCAAACACCCTTAACAACTATTTTATTGAAGTCTGTTAAGCTCGTATTATTTTTAATTAATTCCCACCTTTATCATGATAGAAAATGCTAATTTAATATAGTTATTATCACATCTACAAAAAATATCAGAATTTTACTACAATTATTTTCTTGAATCAATAGTTAAATGAGTTTAAACTCACCAAGAAAAAGATGAAGGGAGAGAGAGTTTCTGAATAACAACACGAAAGTCTTCATATTTTCGAAAACGCCATGAAGTTTTTCTTAATTCATATGAAACGCTAGGTGGTGTGTTTTTTTTTTTTTTTCTTTTTCTTTATATGCATGAATTTCTGATGAAACTGAAAATAATTTGAATATATGTGCAAGATTTGAACTATTTAGACTCTTATCCATTTGTATGAAACATGGATTTTATCTTTTCGTTTATGAGTTTGACACACATAGAGAGATAGATGAATGAACAAATATACCTTGTAGCGGGTAACAAGGTTTTTCCACTTGCACTTGCACTGCTCTGCACTTCTATGGTAACCCTTTTCCTTCATTCTTGTTGAGATCACTTCCCACAACTGCTTGTTCCTCTTGGTCTCCATGAAAGTCTGATCCAGCTCTGCACGAATCACGAGAAACTCCTTGGTCTCTTGGATGCTCCATTGGGGGAACCTATCAGTCACATCCACGCTGGCACTCATATTCTGAGGCTGAACCCTTTGTTGTTGTTGCCCTTGGTGGCGATGAAGATGATGACCCTCCATTCAAATCGAAGAAAAGTGTGTGACTTGATCGAATCTAACTTATATTCTAGAAAGAATTGAAGAAGCTGTCGTTGCTACCCCTCTGATCACAGAAAAAAGATGAAATTTTCTTTTGGAAGAGAGAGAAAGAAAAAAGAAAAAAAAAGAAAGGGTTATATATGGGGTGGTGGGAACACGAGATGAGACAGTGGTGTTGTGAACCGCGTTAAGAGGAAAAAGAGAGATTTGCTTTGCTCAGACAAGTTTTTTTCCTAGTTCTGTTACAGTTTTATTCGTTTACATAATTTCATAACACGTTATTAACTATGCTGTTTATTTTAAACCAGTGAAAAAGTTTTGCAATATCCTTAAATTTTACACAATCTATTTGTTTAAGGACAATCAAAGTCTAAAAAGATCTTATTTGAGAAAAAAATAAAAAAGAGATTACAACAAATCATGGTTGATTTTTTGCCTGTTATTTTTATATACATTCCTATTTCAAATAATAAAACAAGAAACATATGTAGTTTAATATTCTTTTTATTTTATAAAATACAAAGTATAAAAACAAAACAATTTGTCGTTTGCTAATAAGGTTCCTAATACCATGTCTGGAAGAGGAAGATTCGATGTAAATTAATATTTTTTGAAAAGTTGTAAATTTTATAACAGATCTAATCTACCCATTTAGATGTTTCTCCAATTATATTATATACATGGCTTTTGCATATCTTCTTTCAATTATGGTGATCAATTGATGATGATGAAAATCCTACATGACCGTCTCATGGGACATGTTTGGATATTAAATAAAGCTTATCCAGTTTCATATTTTTGGACGAACAACCTTGTATTATTTTTAATATATGGTGTCCCACATCTTGTAATATATATATAAATATTTGGAGCATTAATTGTTTTTGTTTGTGTATGTGTGTGTGCGCGCGCGAGAGTTTTTCAGAGTTGCTAAACGGAGTGTGATCTGTCTACGCGGAAACTTTGATTTGCATCTCTATTCAGCTTTTTTGTTTGGAGGTCGTTCCCATTGCGTCTACGTATCGTCACGCTGACCGGTGGAGCCACATTTATTCTCTATGACCCTGACCACATTACTTTCGTGCTAAGCTATTCTTTCTTTTTCTTTGCGTTTCTTTTCTCATTGGTCATCTAATATTTTATTATAATACTTTACATTCCTATAACATTAATTTGTAATAAAATCAGATCCTCTATATTGGACACCATTTAGGTTTTAACCAAATTTTAACAAGGATTTACATCATAAAGAGAGATGAAAAATTAAATTAATTTCTTCCTAACTTTAATATTTACTTTTAGAAATAATAGATATCTAATTCAATATCATATCATCGCTTCACGTATATTCATTTATATGATATAATATTATTATTATTTTTAGTAGATACAAATTTTTTTCATTACAGCTCTCTTGTCGAGAGAAGTGATCTATTATTTGTCTAATAACAAATTATTTAGTTTACAATGGTTAATGATTAATGTTTTAACATATATAAAATTAACTTGATATCATTTTAAAAATTATGAAATACTTAACTCAATTCTATAAAATTGAGATTTAGTAACATTTATAATTTTAACTCATTTAATATAAATATTAAAATAAATTATTAAATATATTACATAAAAAGATATTTTTTTTATAATATTTCATTATTTATTAATAATATATTATTTAAAAGAAAGTGATTATCAATAATACAGTACACTTCTTTTCAAAGTATTATTAATAGAAAATTTTGAATATTTTTATTTAATTTATAATAAGAAGATATAATTTATTTTTGGTTGATAAAAAATTTACAAATAATTTTTTTATATTTTGAAAAATATTAATTAATTTTTGCTATTAAATCATTATAACACTATAAATTGAAATGTTATTAATGTTAGGGAAGAGATGGACACTACAATATCCAAAATATTACAAACTCAAATCAAAAGATAACAGATAATTCAAATATAATTATCTAGACATGTTGATTCATAATTAGAAGAAAAGAATATACTAAATTCTGCCATGCACATCTGCCAGTTATTTCTATTCTGATCTCACGTAATCTTTTAGGTGTAGTCACCTTCATCCTCAGGAGGATCTTCTTCTCTGAATGATTCACTAACATATGCATCTTCAGAAGAAGGTGCCATGTCTTCAAAATCACATTATTCCGAGGAAGGGAGAGAACATCAAACACTTTCAATTCTTTTATTCTCAAATTCCCACTTGTCACTCATGGGCAATGGTTGTTGGTGAAGGATACTTTTATTCTTCACAAAGATGTTATCGGATGAATAACAAATTAGTTATGTTATAAGTAATGCGATTTGGACAAAATAAATTCATATTTTTCACACTAATGATATTAATTTTGTTAAAATTGAATAACAATAAAAAGATGATAAATTGATTTACATTTTGGTATATTTTAAAAATATATATTACATTGGTTTTAATAATGATAAGAAATTTTACAACTTTATGAAAAATCAAATGTATTGAATTTGAATTACTTTCATTTAAATTATTTAATATTTCAATTATTTTGTATGGATAAATCAATTCAAATTTGTTGAATTTTAATTTTAGATAAAATATTTAAATTATCATAAAATACAAAAAATTTAAAAATTAAAAATTATAACCAAATAATAATAGTTCAGTGGATAAAAAAATTCCTCCAAATCATTGACAAAAAAGAACTACTAAATCTATTGAAAAGTATCCATCCCATTGACATTAGTTGTTGACATCAATAGATAGGTTTACATCAATAGATAAGTAATACGAGGTAAGTTGACTGAAAAATAACCCTTATAAATATTGGTTATGAAACTTGACTTACGTCAATAATAAAAATAAATATGATTATTCAATAACAAAATCTAATTAGCATTACCAAAAAATAGTTCTATCAATGTTAGTGGAGAAAATTTTAATCTAAATTGGTTGAGAAATAACCCTAACCTACATTCCTATTGACGTTGGACGAAAAAAATCCCAACTTGCATCTAATCTTAATTGATGTCAATAAAAAAAATTGTATTTGATTTCAGCTTCAAAACATTGTTGATATTGATAAATAAGATCTTAATTAATATTAACCAAAAAATAACACTTACCTATTATCGATATGAATAATAAATAATGTAGGTGATGACGATTGAAAAATAACCACAATATACTACCTGAAAGAAACCTCATCAATATTAGTAAAAAAAAAAATCTAAATCTTAATCTTAATTAGATAGAACACTTTTGTTTATTAGAAATAATTTTTTTGGAGTAGTTTCACTACAAGAAAAACATCAAATAGTGACCGAAAATTCGGTCACTAAATGTGCAAAATCGATTACTAATTAAAATAGTGACCAACTGGAATCGGTCACTATTTCCTTGGTCACTGATTTTAGTGACTGAATCGATGACCGAATCAATGACCGATTTGATTATATATATTCGGTCACTGATTCGATCACTAAATCAATGAAAAAGAATAACAAATTTAATTATTTTTATTTATTTACATTTTTATTATATCTATTATTTATTTTCCCTATCTCTTAATTATATTATGTTTTTGCTTATTTAAGTTTTTATTTCCCCTATCTCTTAATTATATTATATTTTTTAGATGTTTAACTTATTATTAGGTGGTTTATTGTCATTGTCGGGATTCGAACCCAACACCTTAGAGTTGGAGGTTGAAACTCCAACCATCGAGCTACTAGGATCTTTTAATAATAACTTACAAATAAATTATATTTATATACAAATAAATGTATATCCGTATAAATATATAAATATAAAATCTATAAATAAAAATATATTTATATATTTTAATATATATTTAAATATTGATATATTTATATATTGATATATTTATATCTTTATATTTTTACATATATTTATATTTTTATATATTTATATCTTCATATTTTTACATATATTTATATGTTTTCATATTTATATATAAAGATATTAGTTTTCTATACAAATAATATTATAATATAGTATATTATACTATTAGTATAGTATACAAATAATATATTAGTATAGTATAGTATACAAATTATTAATTTTGTAATTTATATACAATGAAAATAATATAATGGTATATTAGTATAGTATAGTATATTTGTATTCTAATTTTTAATTAAATTAAAATTATGCTAATAATGTATATTAATATATGAGGGGATAATATTGATATATTGATATATTTGTATATATATATATATATATATATATATATATTTATATATTTATTTATATATTTATATATTGATATATTTATATATTAATATATTTATATTTTTATATATTTATATTTTGATATATTTATATATTTATATATTTATTTATATCCTTATACATTTATATCTTTATATATTTATATATTTGAAAAAAAATATTAAATTTTAAAAATAATATTATATTTTTAAAAATAAATATAAGAAAAAGATTTAAAAATATATATAAATTATATTTACATTTACAAAATATTAAAGATATATGTTTATATCTTTACATATTTATATATATTTATATATTTATATGTTTATATTTACTTCTAATAGCGGTTGCAACATCGCTCGAGCGAGACTAGACTCGCTCAAGCGAAATACAACCCGACAAGTACTAATTTTGTGCAGGGGCGTTTTGCTCGAGCGAGAACGTTCTCGCTCAAGCGAGAACTGATTTAGATAGCGGTTACACGAGAACCGCTCTTAAAAGCTCACTTAGATAGCGGTTAACCCTTGAACTGCTATTATATGGTTTCAATTATGATCGATCAGAATACAATTATGACCGATCATAACTCTTTTAATCGATTAAATCTCATTTCAATCGATTAAAACAATTTCTGCACGACCTTTTAATCGATTAAAACTTATTTTTATCAGTTAAAATAACTTGAAAAGTTTTACAAGAAACTTATATTTATATATTTATATTTTTATATATTTATATTTTTATA